TTCTATGTAAAAATATAGTAATTGTAAAAACATGTTAAAAGCCCGGTTGATTTCACACGAGGACGTCGCCACGCTGCTGTATGAGCTCGGCGATGGCGGAGCACAGGTCCCTGGCGGCCGCGGCCAGCCTCTGCTCGTCGTGGAAGGCGATGGCGAGGCGCAGGTGGCTGCTGCCGGCGGCGGGCCCGTGCGCCGAGGAGGCCGAGGCCGGCGAGAAGAGCGCGCCGGGGAAGGCGGAGACGCGGCGCGTGTCGCGGGCGTGGCGCTGCACCGCCTCGGCGTCCAGCCCGGGCGGCAGGCGCAGCCACACGAAGTAGCCGCCGGCCGGGCGCGCCGGGTGCAGCGAGCAGCCCGCCGGCAGCGCCGCCTCCAGGGCGTCGCACAGCGCGCGCATGCGACCCTGCGGCACGAGGAGGAGCATCGGACTCTGTACGCGACTGTCTCGACGATATGTCAAAAAAACTATTAAAACTACACCGAAATCGGCGCAATCAACGGCATTTCGGTATTATTCCGATATCGGTTCGATATGTCGTTTCTCGGTGCGAGACGAACGACGCGGCCGAGCTGCCCTTACCCTGAAGGTGGCCACCAGGTGGTCGAGGTGCTTGTCCAGCAGGCCCAGCTGCAGCGCGCTGCAGATGACGCCGGCCGTGTACGAGTTGACGCCACCACCGCTCCTCAGGATCCCCCTAGGAGAAGGAGAAGGTCTGTCGTTGAGTTGGTGGGGGAGGGGGGTTGTTGAGGGAGGAGGGCTGAGCTACTCACGAGGTTCTCAGCTGCTGTACGAGGTCGGCGGGGGCCTCGAGCCAGCCCACGCGCACCCCGGGGGCCAGGATCTTGGAGAAGCTGCCGTTGGAGACGACGTGGCGCCGGCGCGGGCCGGCCGCGCCCGCCGGCGGGGCCAGGCTCCGCTCCAGCGAGTGCAGGCGGCGAGGTGCGGCCCCGGCCCCGTAGTGCAGCAGGTTGTACACGTCGTCGCAGGCCACCAGGAAGCCGAGTGACTGCGCTACCCGCACCACCTCGGCGCCCACCTCTGCGTCACACATACCGCGCTTGTCAGGGATATACATTTAAATATTCCGGAAAAGTTCCAGTTTTCTGAAAAAAATGTTTTCTGCACAATTTTTTCGGGAAAATTTGAAAAAAAAAATGGATACATTAGGGACTTTTTGAAAAAACCTATGTTTTCTTATGGTTTGTCGTGGCCCGTACCCACGGTACATGGGCGGGCGCAGCATAGGCAACCACGGGCTGCAGCGGGCGTGGCGCTGCGGTGGGTTGCCTACCCTGACGTCCGCAGGCGCTTGCCTTGGCTGGTGCACACTCCGGTCGGGTTGTGGTACACGGGGATGGAGTAGAACACGGCCCAGAACGGCTTCCCCGTCGATCGGTCGCCTCTCTTAGCCTTCTCCTCCCGTGCCAGCCGCTCCAGCTCGGACGCCACGACCCCCGTGTCAGAGAAGGGCACTATACCGCGACGGCGGCGAGGGAAACAGTTTTAATCAAGGCAAAAAAAAAAAAACACCAAAAGGGCAAAGACACAGCAGGTGCGCCAGTCCACGGTACACGCACCTGAGACGATCTTCATCCCGGAGAACTCCCTGAAGACCGCGATGGCGATCATGTAGGTGACTTCCTCCACAAAGATGACACCGTCGGGCTCGATGAAAGAGTTGAGGATGAGCTGGAGGCCGTGCGACGCACCGCATGTCAGGACCAAGTCATCCCTACACTCGACCATCAGCCGAGGTGAAACGGAGGGGTTGCGTGAGACACCAACTTTTCTGGGGCAGTTGAGTACATTTCGAAAACACGTTCGTTTATGCTCACTCGTTCACTTGGTCGTCGTAGCGCTTGGAGAGGAATCGGCTCAGTTCCTCCCGGAAGTCCCACGGGCCGTCCGTGGCGCCGTACTGGAAGAGGAATGCGTCCTTCCGCTCGTGGGCCTGAGGAAAGACATTCCCTTTACAGGACAGGTTGGTAAACTAAAGATGCGCAAAAGGACCAGCGCTGTCGACACTCGCCATCCTGTGCGCCGTGGCCTCCTCGAAGATGTCGACGCAGCGGCGCAGCAGGTCCGGGCCCGGCGTGCCGGCGCACAGGTTGCAGAACTCGCTGTTGTACACGTTGGTCTCGTCGCCGTCGAACAGGTGCCGGAGCCGGCGGGTCGGCGGCGGCTGGGCCGCCTCTGGGGGCTGGTCAGCTGACATGCCTGCGACCGCTGTGTAGCAATAAACAAAGAGCATCAGTCATGACATCCAATCACAGAAATCAGTTTTGGGGCCGGAAATGCCAGTTTAAATGTTTCACGTAAAGGTGTGCTGACACCAGATTCGTCCCCCCGTCCACATTCGTTCTTCACCGGGATATGGCGCGAGCGCTCGATCCGTCGTCTCTGCCATGGCGGCGGCGCCTTCAGGTCCGAACGAGTAGGCAACCCGCTCACACGCGTGAACGTAGTGTTGTGTAACTGTGAATACGCAGCAGTGTTGCGGGATTGCATACTCAATATGGCCGCAGGGGCCACGGCCCCTTACGGGTGTAAAGAGTAGGCAAACCCGCAACACTGCTGCGTATTCACAGTTACCCCCGGTACAGTCCAACCACGGGAAGCAGGGTGATTCGGCCTCTAGTGGTATGACGTCGTATGACGTCGTCTTGCCGTGCTGAAGATTACCCCAGCAAGTGGGCAAGGGGAGGGTAGCAGCTGATAGAGCTTCTGCCTCTCGCCCGAAAACGCGGACAAAGCTTATCAGTCGAGCGTTGTGATAAGAAGGAAAAGACTGCAGAGGACGTTTCACTCTGCTGAAAAGCCCACAAATGGCTGTGTCTGCTTCAGTTGGAAAACCTGACGAATCTCACAGTGCCGTACTAATTCACCTCGTTGTAAGGTTTGCGCAATAAGGAGACACATGCCCACTTGTCAAGCGTACTTGTCCAGCGGACAAGCCCAATCGTGAGTCGGAGTTAATAGCACAGAGTGCGGAAGACCAAAAAAAGATAATGATGCGTTGGTTCCTCCCTCGTGAACTCACGGACGTGACCAGTACTAACTGGAACGCAGGGTTGGTCCAGCTAAGTCCTGACTGCGAGACCCTAGAGAAGGGTGGTTCCAAATCGCTATGGACGATCCGCCAAGAAGTTGGAGTCCAATCTAGCCTCGCCTCGACGGAGGAGGTGCGCCGTACTCGCAGTGTCGAGTGCGCGCTGAGTGCTGAGTGCTGAGTAGCGCAGCCGCGACCGAGCCGCATGGCAGGCTGGACGCTGGGGCGATTTCGAGCAAGATCATCACAGATTGACTCTGAGGTGTAATTTGGTTGGCATTTTTCACATAACGAAGACACATTCCACTTCTCAAATAAAAGGATATACAATTTCAAAGCATACACCAAAGTTTTATTTCTTCCAATTTAAATCACAACCGTTGAATATATTTAAAAAGAAAAACAAAATCCTACAAAAAATAATGCATATATACATGAATAAAACACATCTGAGAGAGATTTTTCATATAATAAAAAAAAGCTAATTTTCTTCATCAGAGGTCCAGTTCCCATCTCCACTTTCTTCTAACTTAACATGCTCTTGATAGTGAGCTGTAAGTGCTTTGAAACTGTTACATTGCACACCACATTCTATGCAAGAGAAATCACCCCGGCTTTGATGAATTTGAAGGTGCGAAGACATTTGTCTTTCATTTGTAAATACTTCATCACAATCATCACATTTCAGTTCAATATCGGAATCTAAATTGCATTCTTGAGGAGTTTTTGACGGACAAGCAGCAGCTGATGAGACAGTAAATTTATCACTATGAGGTGCTTCAATTTTAACTTGCAGCTGAGGGGCATTAACTTCTAAGTCATTACGATTGTTGTGACATGAAGGCGATACATAAGTGTGAGGTGTTTTAATTTCAACTGGAAGCTTAGAGGGAATATCTTTCACTTCTTTGGAAGTGCTGGGGAGTGAAGGGGATTTACGGGACATATAACTATGAGAGTGATACTGTAAATGCCTGGATTGTTTGCTTGAATTTCCATCCTTACAAAAAATGCATCTAACAACTTTATTATCTCCTGCTGATATATGATTCAAAATATGAGCTTCAACACACTCAATGGAGGTAAAAATTAGCTGGCAAAATTCACAACTAAAAAAAGAAATACAAGTGTGGCTTTTTATATGGGCCAATAAATGTGACATAGACGAGAACCGCTCACAACACTCAGGACATTCTAGGTGCAATCCATGCTGAAGATCTTCTTTATGGATCCACATTTCAGCCATGGAGTGGAACAGACGTTTACATTGTATGCAAATAAGACTATTTTTTAAATGGGTCTCCTTAAAATGTTGCTCGGCATGAGCTGTAGTTTTGGATACAAATTTGCAAGTTATGCACACATTGGTGCCACCTCTCACATGAAATATCCTGCAATGGTCGTACACCTCTGACAGCAGACCAAAAACTTGTCCACATAGAGTACAAATGAAGTGTTCAGAGGCAGAATGTTTCACATTGTCAACAGTAGGGGTATTAACTCCAAGTTCATAATTGCATGGACTCCTTATATGGTTTTTGTATGATTGTGGATTGCTAAACATCTTGCCACATTTCCCACATATAGATTTACCTGATTTGTAGTGAAGAGTCATATGCATTAAAAGCACTAGACGTTCTGAAAATTCCTTATTACATTGTGAGCATTGCAATTTTGTACTTGGCTTCAACACCTCTCCACAAACAAGATTGGTTGTTTCATCATCCTCATTGAAGTATTTAAAATTAATCTTTCTTCTTTTCGCGGCAGGTGACTGAACAACTACACTGCGAATCAGTTTTTCTTGGGATGGATATTTTAAAGATCTAAAATTTTCTGGTGCTGCTGTTCCTTTCCCCTCACTCAATTGAAGTTCACTGTAAATGTCTTCACTTTCTTGATTGGCTAGTATTTCAAGGATTTCTACACAGTTTTTCTTTGCGGCTGCGGTTTCATCCGGCTCCTCAATTTCTTTCTTTAGTATGACTTCACAAAAAGCAGGCATCTCAAGAATCTCTTGAGTATCCGGGTTTTTAGGTAACTTTCCCTCATTTTGAGGATCACCCTTAGAGATATGATTTTCCTGGCAAGTATAAAATAGAAAAGATAAGATGCAATGCAAACAATCACA